GTGAAATCTGGTCAGGGTATGAGTTCTGTTTTAATACAGGTTTTTATTATTATTTAGGTATGGTAAGGCCAATAGATCAGGAAATGATTATTATTGAGAAGGTAATTTGTTATACTCACAGATCCCAAGAGAAGATGGAATGCCGAACCATGCAGTACCATATGGGGAAGCACCAGGTTTAGTCAGGAGGCAGAGAGATGAGGAAATTTTGAATAAGAGTCCTTATTGTGGTTTTCACCGGAACGAATGGGCAGGGTAATTAGTTTAGTATTTGTCCAGTTTGAATAGTTTCGGTAGATTCTGTGTATAGGGGCTCTCTCTGGTTGCCTGGTACCTGGCCCTGGGTGATTAGGGCAGAGGAATAGTGGTCTGCAGTGTGAGAACCTGATAGAGGAGGTGGTTGGGGTATGGCTGTGGATTGATTTGTTTGTATTTGAAAAGTGCTCTCTCAGGCAAGTTGTTTACTGTTTCTAGGACTTGAATAACCTTGGGATAGGCAGTCTCTCCAAGGTCAGCAAGGTCCCAGATGTCAAATCATAAAAATACAGAAAACAAAAGACACAGATTAATGCAGGGTTTCTGAAATCAGTGAGTTTGTTTCTCAGTGTTTGAGCCTGAAGTATTTGGAGTACTATTTGTTACTGGTGTAAGGTTTCTGAATGCATTGTTGGTCTGTGTCCTATGGTTTTAGTCTGAGGTGTTTGTAGTCTATGTTCAAGGTTTGAGATAACCGATCTTAAGGATCTGTCACTCAAAGTTTTGATGTAGGGTGTTTGGGTTTTTGTTGTTGTTGTTGTTCAGGTTGTGAGGTCTCTGAACTCTGAGGGTCTGTGTCCCAAGTATTGAGTCTGAGGTGTTTGGAAGTTCATGTTCTTGGTGTGAGGTCTAGAACTTTCTGTTGTTTTGAGTCTGAAATATTTCAGTTTCTTCATTTAGTATGTAAAATCTCTGAACTCTGACCATGTTGGTCCTTAAGATTGAGTGTGATATATTTGGGAGTCTGAGTTCAGGGTTTGCGTTCCCTAAATGCTTTGGTGATCTTTGTTTCAATGTTTGAGTATGAGGTGTGAGATCTCTGAACTTCTAGAGGTTCTATGTCTTAAGTTGGGTTTGAACTATTTGGGACCTGAGTTCAGAATGTGAGGCCTTTGAACTCTTTCATTGCCTTTTTTTTTTCAATATTAATTTGAGATTTGGGAATCATGTTCAAGGTCAGAGGTCTTCAAACTCCTTGAGAATGTGAATCCTAAACTTTGAGTTTGAGATATTTGGGGTCTTGTTCAAGGTACGGCACTTCTAAATCTTTTCATAGTGTGTTCCAAGGTTTGAGTCTGAGTTATTTGGGGGCCATTTTTCAAGGTATGGTATCTCTGCTCTCTGTAGTGTTCTGTTTCCCAGTACTTTACTCTGAGATATGTAGATGCTTGTGCTCAAGGTGTGAGGTCTGTGAATTCATTGAGGGTTTGTGTCATCAGGTTTGAATCTTAAGTAGTTGGGAGTCTGTATTGTTGGCATGAAGTCTCGGAATTCTTTAAGTGTCTATCCCAAGGTTTGAATCTGATGTCTTTCGAGTTCTGTTTTCAAGGCATGATGTCTCTGAACTCTTTTAAGGTCTGTCCTAATGTTTAAGTTGAGGGATTTGGGTGTCTTTAATAAGGATGTGAAGTCTCTGTACTCTTTGAGGGCCTGCATCTAGTAAAGCAAGAATGAATCTAGATAGGAACCAGTATTTACCTAAGGGTTGTCCTATGTGTCTCACATATTTTTCTTTGCTGAATTATGAAAAGCACCTACCAAAAATGGGACATCTCACCCTTTGGAGGAGCACAGAACCCCTCTGAAACTCTGGCTACCACCCCACAGTATAGTCTTTGGGTTCAATCCATGTGAAAGACTGCTCTGAGAACTTAAACCACCAGTTAATACTGGAAGCTCTGGCATCTTGGGAGGTTGACTCAGGAATGGGTCCTAGACAACTAAGAAGCCATCTGAGCTCTGCTTCTTAAAAGATTGTGTACTGATGATTCCTAGGGGTATAACCCAAACTGAAGCAAGAGAAAAGTCAACATACATAATACCTAGCTAAAGCCAAAGCTTAATGTTACATGGAAATGTCCAAATGAATGAAGAGTCTAGTCCTGATATCCCAAGTGTTTGGCATCCAAGGGGTATTTAGTATATACAGAATAAATAAATGAATCCAAGGGGCAGCAGGGTATGGGGAAAGAGCTCTTATTTGCCAGTAAAGTGCTCTGAACTTAAAGTCTAGCTTTGCCTATTATAGCTTATGTGACTTTAGGCTAATTCATGCCTCTGAACTTCAGTGTCTTTTTTACTTGTAAAACAGGCATCATTATACCTATCAGCTAGGTTTATTAAGTAGGCATGGAGATGGCTTATTTACACACAAATGGAGGACCTAAGGATAGTGCTTGGACCAGAGCAAAGCAGTGCCAACGGCCATTGTTATGAATAAATTATCACAACCCAGGCCACTAGGTGCTGCTATGCCTTTGGAGGCCATGAGTGTGTGGTGCTCACTCAGTCAGTGGCTTGCTCTTCTGTGCTCCTGTGCTTCCTAAAGGTTGGCATTTGTCTGTTGGCATTCATCTCCTGGAGCATCACACCAAACTTGACTACATATTAACCACTCTTTTCCAAGATCGGCTAGCATCATTTCTGCAATAACTGTCATATTGAGGACACAGCACATATATTGTTTCTAATTCTTAAAATAATAAAACAAGGTAGGGAAGTGAGGTCCATTTAGAGATTCAGAAAGTGGACTCAGAGAGGCTAATAAGTAACTGGCCCCAAGTTACATAGCCTGTATATGGCAGCAATTGGTGAAGTGCTGCAGCATAACTCTAGCATGTCCATAGCAGATGCCATCTCAGAAGGGACTACAAAACACGATCCAGGAGTAAATTCATGTTTCAGCTACTTTGGAGCCCCAACTTCAGAGCTACCCAAGATTGGATGAATTGAGATCAGTGATAAACAATGCAGTGTCAAGAGAACGGAGTACATTTATTTTTCTTTTGCTGCTTTCAAGATTTTCTCTTTGGCTTTGGCTGTCAACATTTTTATTATGCTATGTCTAGGTAGAGATTTCTTTGCATATTTTTTTACACGCAGTCTGTTGAGGTTTTTGGATTTGTAGATTAATGGTTTGTTACATATTTAGGAAATTTTCAGTGGTTATTTCTTTTTTCTTTAATCGTTTTTTAATTTTAGAGAGAGAGTGTGTGTGTGTACAAGCTGGGGAGAGGGGCAGAGGGAGAGAGAGAAAGAGAGAATCTCAAGCAGGCTTCATGCTCAGTGTGAAGCCTGATGTAGGCTTCGATCCCATCACCCAGGGACCATGACCCTAGCTGAAACCGAGAGCCAGATGTTCAACCAACTGAGCCACCTAGGTGCCCCCAGTTGTTATTTCTCCAAGTAATTTTTCTATTCATTTCTCCCTCTTCTCTCATTCTGGTACCCCCATTATATATATGTTGGTGTACTTCATTGTGTCCCATAGGTCTGTGAGCTATGCTCATTTTTCCTCATTCTTTTATCCTTCCTGTTCGTCAGATTATATAATCTTGAATGATATATCCTCAAGTTCACTAATTCTTTTTTTCTGCCTGCTCAAATCTAGTTTGAGCCCCTCTAGTGATTTTTTAAAAATTTGAGTTATTAGGCTTTTCAACTCCAGAATTTCCATTTTTTAAAGTAATTTCTGTCTTAATTGATGTTCTTTATTTGATAAAGTTGCAGGGCTCGAACTCATGAATCATGAGATCATGATCTGAGCTGAAATCAAGAGTCAGAAGCTCAACTGACTGAGCCACCCAGGCGCCCCTATGAACATATTTATAGTAGCTACTTTGCAGTCTTTGTCTGCTAACTCCCACATCCTGCGTCCCCTTAAGGTGGTTTCTGCTGCCTGTTTTTTAAAAAAAACTGTACAAGAATCACACTCTCCTGTTTCTTTGTTTGTCTTATAACTTTCTGTTGAGCAATAAGCATTTCAGATAACATATCATAACAACTATGGATTCTAATAAGCGTCACATTCCTTCTGAGACTTTTTCATGGTGCCATTTCCTTTTAGCTTATTTGTTTAATGTCTTGTCTGGAATAATTCCACAAAATATATTTTCCTTAAAGTGTGCAGTCTCTCATGTCACTGCTCAGCTTTTTCCGTTGTTTTTATTTTCAAGCCTAGCTTCCCAGAGGTTACCAAGTCAACGTAGCTTAATATTCAATCAATGATTATTTAGGGGTTGTGCTTATATTCCTTGAACCAGTGATGGGGATCAGGGCATGCTGCTCCAATGTGGCATCTTGGCATGTTGAATATTTTAAATTGAAGGAGTTTGAGACAATGGCAGAAGCAGGAAGGTCACTCTGACCTTCCATGTATAGTTTTCCCCTGAAGCAGGTCATAAGACTGTCATGTGAGAGGTGCCTGCCCTATACTCAGAGGAAAGTAGCATCCTTATCTCTGAAGACAAAGGGATATTGAGAAGAATCTGAAAGATCAGACCTTGCTAATATGATAGGGAAAAGATAGGATAAAATAGGCAGAGAGGGAAGGGTTAGGATGTGAGGTGCCTGGGTGGGGAAAAACACATATTTTGGAACAATGCTGGGAGCCTCTGACCACAGCAAAGCCCCTCCGGGCATAAGCTTCCACTACCTACTCCCCCTCAGGTTTCCCTTAAGAATTTGACCAAAGACCCGACTAAAAATAAGTAGACCATCAAGCCCACAAGGAACAGTATGACCATAGACCACCCCTCATACAATGGAAATGAACCAATCAGGAATGGACAACCCAGCACCTAGAGGTATCCAGCCAATAAGGGTAAGACCTGAGAAGGAACAAGGGGAAAGGGAAGGGGGAGGACTGACCAGAACCTTATAAAACTAGGACCCCTGCCTATAGACTTGGACATTCACTTTCCAATGTCCCCTCTCTGTAGAGAGAGCTTTCCTACTATTCTTCCTTTCTAATCTTATGCTCTAATAAACTTTTGCCTGTTGTTTATCCTGTGTCCACCTCTTCATTCTTCAAAGCAGCAAAACAACGAATCCCAGGTATGGAGGTAAAAAACACTAATTTTCCCCCAGTTTACTGCACTTACCCCATACTCCTTGACCTACCATGTTCTTCCGTGGCCGTTCACTTTTCATCTCTTTTCATCAAGTACTTTGCATAAAAGTACTCAGGTTTAATAATTTCTTTGGATTTTCATTTCCTTATGAGGCCCCCGTGTCATGTAAATCTTATATTAAATACATTTGTATGTGTTTCTCCTGTTGATTTGTCTTTGTCCGTCTAATTTTCAGATCCCACCAGGGACTCTAAAAACACTGAGGTAAAGTTTTTCCTCCTATCTGCTGATGGATCTGTGAGTGATGTGTGGGATGATTTCTGCCACATGTTCTAGTAGATACTAGTAGCTCTCAAGTGCATGTTGCAGTTGCTTTTTAGGGGGTGCAGCCTGCCAAATGTACACAACCTCCTAACCTCCAGGGAGAAGTATGGTCTTAACAGGGTACTTTTGAGCTGTCCATTTCTCTGGTTCTCACTGTTAAACTTCTGGGTGATTTGCTGTTTTGTCTTTTGGTCCTGGTTTCATGAAACTATTAGCTTTCTCTTAATTGTCTGACAGTAAGATTGTTATTGATTTTGACTACACCTGAAGACAGGAGTTACTCCTGTTGGGGAGGAAAGTATTTTCATTCCACCCTTTAAAATCTTGGTTAAAGGGGGTGATGGGCATGGAGGAGGGCACTTTTTGGGATGAGCACTGGATGTTATATGTAAACCAACTTGACAATAAACTATAAAAAAAAAATCTTGGTTAAGGCCCCCAAGGGGCATATGGGTGGATCAGTTGGTTGAATGTGCGACTTTGGCTCAGGTCATGATCTCACAGCTCATGAGTTCGAGCCCTGTGTTGGGCTCTGTGCTGTCAGTTCAGAACCTGGCGCCTGCTTCACATTCTGTGTCTCCCTCTCTCTCTGCCCCTCCCCCACTTGTACTGTGTGTGTTTCTCTCAAAATTAAATAAACATTAAAAAAAAGACAGATAAACAAGAGAAAAACAAACAGAAGTTTATTAACATGTATACCTCAGGTATACCTGGGAGATACCCAGGGAAAATTGAGTAACTCCCAGATATGGCTTAGAATTTAGGCCTAAATACCATTCTCAATTAAATCTTCAATTAAAGAAAGGTATAGGGAGGCCAGGAAAATCATAGTAAACAAGGATATGGTTTGTTATACAGATTTAAGTCAGTGCCTTCTCCACTGGTGAGAGTCTCTTGTGATTTAGAGTCATCCTTCTCTTTCTAAGAGAGAGAGAGAGAGAGAGAGATCCTTACAAATAGAGATTTCCTTTATAAATGTAAATGTCCCTCATGAAAGGGTAACTTCTACTCTGTTCAGACCTTCCATGTGTCTAATGTTTCTCAAAATATACATACCAAAGATACTAAAAAGCATATTTTGGGGTAGATTTTCTAGTCTCCTATACTCCACATTCTGTTCTAAGTGAAATCAGCCCCTCAGTAGGGCTATGGAGGTATCAGTCCTCTAGTCTTGCCTCTCTCCTTGGGCAGAAATTCTGTGCTCTTACACTGAAGATAGGGCTGGGGACAGGGATGGTGGCCTGCTTCTCCTGGAGTGACACCTATACCGTGAAAATGGAAGCCGAAAGGGACTGTAGCTCTTATCTTTTCTGTTTGCCTCTCCCCGCAGAGAACCACCACCTTATTGGTGAGGGAGTGCAGGCAAGCTGAGGGCAAACTACAGGCTACCAGCACCGCCCCCCCCAGGTGGAATATGTGTGATATTCCTTGGATACTCCTGGCTACCCAAGAACAAAGGAAATGGGTTTGAGTGCTTGCCATGGTGATGTGGGAAACTAAGGCAAATGAAACATTAAATTCCCTTACTGCCTACAGCCCATTGACAAGTCCTAGAAACTGGCAGTGACCTCCCTCTAGGAGCTTGGCTGCCTCGGTGATGACACTTTGCTGGGGGCAAAAGGGAATCTTGGCTTAACATTATCCCAACCTCTAGGATCCTGTAAGTCTACTTTAACATATGAAAATTCCTTTGGAAACTTTCTTTATCTCAGCTCCCCCAAGGTATATGCTGGCAATTATACTCCAAGCTTATGGTCCCCTGGTATATATCTGAAGGGTCTCATGACCTAGGTTTTACTAAACGGTAATAAATGACTTGTTTTCCTAACAATAGCAAGGTCCTGGAAACCTTGTTTCCAAAATTCCTTAGAGACTTCCCCTCCCAACCTTAGGGTATAGAACTAGCCACTCCTCACAACTCCAGTGCAGGTCTTTCTGTCCATGCGTTCTGTCCCCATGTTTTAATAAAATCACCTTTTTGCACCAAAGACATCTTCAAGAATGCTTTCTTGGCCATCATCTCTGAACTCCCTGAACCCCACCATCACCCCAAAACCCCATCACTATGAGTAGGATCTGAGGGTGGGGTTGCTATTGGAGCTCCAGTATTGTCTTGCTTGGAAAATAGCCTTCTCCACACTATTGGTGGGGTTTTGGAGTGGTGGGGATCCATAGCAGATGGACAAGAAAGCATTCTTGAAGACATCTTTAGTGCAAAAAGGTGATTTTATTAAAGCATGGGGACAGGACCCACAGGCATAAAGTTCTGAACTGGAGTTATGAAGGATGACTGGTTATATTCTATGGAGTTGGGGGAGGTAAAGGCAAGAAGGAGTTCTCCAGAAGGACTTTCATATACTGAAAAGACTCATAAGATACTAGAGGCCTGGCTATTGTTAAGCTAAGGTTGTTTTTCCTCTGGTAAGGCATTTACATTAAGACAGTAGGGGGTTCCTGTAGAAATGATATACTCTGTATTTGCATTAAGTATTCATCAATGGGCTGCAGGTTATAAGGAAATTTAGTTTTTAACCATTTTTAATGTTTATTTATTTATTTATTTTTTACAAATAGTTTATTGTCAAGTTACTTTTCATATAACACCCAGTGCTTATCTCCACAAGTGCCCTCCTCCATGCCCATCACCGCCCCCCCCCCACACCCATCAGTCCTCAGTTTGTTCTCAGCATTCAAGAGTCTCTCATGGTTTGCCTCTCTCTCTCTCCCCCACTATTTCCCCCCTTTTTCTCCCCAAGGTCCTCCATTAAGTTCCTCCTAATCCTCCTATACGTGCAAACATATGGTACCTGTCCTTCTCTGCCTGACTTATTTCACTCAGCATAACACCCTCAAGTTCATCCATGTGGCTACACATGGCCAGATTTCATTCTTTCTCATTGCCATGTAGTATTCCATCATATAGATAAACCACATCTTCTTGATCCATTCTTCCGTTGATGGCTCTCTCCATGTTTTGGCTATTGTTGAGAGTGCTGCTATGAACATTGGGGTCCATGTGCTCCTATGCATCAGCACTCCTATTTCCCTTGGGTAAATTCCTAGCAGTGCTATTGCTGGGTCATAAGGGAGTTCTAGTGTTAATTTTTTGAGGAACCTCCACACAGTTTTCCAGAGGGGCTGCACCAGTTTACATTCCCACCAACAGTGTAGGAGGGTGCCCGTTTCTCCACATCCTCGCCAGCATCTAGAGTCCTCTGATTTGGTCATTTTAGCCACACTGACTGGCGTGAGGTGGTATCTCAGTGTGGTTTTGATTTGTATTTCCTTGATGAGGAGGGACGCTGAGCATCGTTTCATGTGTCTGTTGGCCATCTGGATGTCCTCTTTGGAGAAGTGTCTGTTCATATCTTCTGCCCATTTCTTCACTGGGTTGTTAGTTTTTCGGGTGTGGAGTTTGGTGAGTTCCTTATAGATTCTGGATAGTAACCCTTTATCCGATATGTCATTTGCAACTATCTTTTCCCATTCTGTCGATTGCCTATTAGTTTTGTGGATTGTTTCCTTTGCCGTGCAGAGGCTTTTGATCTTGATGAGGTCCCAATCGTTTATTTTTGCTCTTGATTCTTTTGCTTTGGGGGATGTGTCAAGTAAGAAATTGCTGCGGCGGAGGTCAAGGAGGTTGTTTCCTGCTTTCTCCTCTAGGGTTTTGATGGTTTCCTGTTTCACATTCAGGTCCTTTATCCATTTTGAGTTTATTTTTGTGTATGGTGTGAGACAATGATCTAGTTTCATTCTTCTGCATGTTGCTGTCCAGTTCTCCCAGCACCATCTGTTAAAGAGGCTGTCTTTTTTCCATTGGATATTCTTTCCTACTTTGTCAAGGAATAGTTGGCTCTGTACTTTTGGGTCCAATTCTGAGTTCTCAATTCTATTCCATTGGTCTATGTGTCTATTTTTGTGCCAATACCATACTGTCTTGATGATAACAGCTTTATAGTAGAGACTAAAGTCTGAGATGGTGATGCCTATCGTTTTGGTTTTCTTCTTCAATATTACTTTGGCTATTTGGGGTCTTTTGTGGTTCCATACAAATTTTAGGATTGTTCTAGCTTTGAGAAGAATGCTGGTGCAATTTTGATTGGGATTGCATTGAATGTTGTAGATTGCTTTGGGTAGTAATGACATTTTAACTATATTTATTCTTCCGACCCATGAGCATGGAATGTTTTTCCATTTCTTTGTATCTTCTTTGATTTCCTTCATAAGTTTTCTATCATTTTCATCATACACATCTCCTATATCTTTGGTTAGGTTTATTCCGAGGTATTTTATGGTTTTTTGTGCAATTGTGAATGGGATCAGTTTCTTGATTTCTCTTTCTGCTGCTTCATTGTTGGTGTATAAAAATGCAACCGATTTCTGATCGTTCATTTTGTACCCTGGAACTTTGCTGAATTCTTAGATCAGTTCTAGTAGGCTTCTGGTGGAGTCTGTCGGGTTTTCTTTGTAGAGTATCATCTCATCTGCGAAAAGTGAAAGTTTGACTTCTTCTTTGCCAATTGATGCCTTTTATTTCCTTTTGTTGTCTGATGGCTGATGCTAGGACTTCCAGCACTATGTGAAACAGCAGTGGTGAGAGTGGACATCCCTGTCATGATCCTGATCTCAGGGGGAAAGCTCTCAGTTTTTCCCCATTGAGGATGATGTTAGCTGAGGGCTTCTCATAGATGGCTTTTATGATGTTTAAATAAGTTCCTTCTATCCTGAGTTTCTCGAAGGTCTTCATTAAGAAGGAATGCTGTATTTTGTCAAATGCTTTTTCTGCATCTATTGACAGGATCATATGATTTTTATCTTTTCTTTTATTGATGTGATGTATCACATTGATTGTTTTACGAATATTGAACCAGCCCTGTAACCCAGGAATGAATCCCAATTGATCTTGCTGGATAATTTTTATGTGCTGTTGAATTCGATTT